GCTTGGCCTAGCCTTCGCCTGGGAAACCCAGTTTACTCCTAGTCTCCTCTAGATGCGCATTGTTTGGTGCAGTTCTTTTATTCCAACGAGTTAGAGCTGTGATTCTGCTTCTCTCTGGCCCCCATGGTTTCTGGTGAGAAATTCATTTTTCTCCAGCTGCTCTAAGGGTGGTTTTGGTCTTTAGTTTTCTGCCTGCAGTCACTATAGCTTGTTTGGGGTGCCTCCGTGTCCAAGTGGGGCACCACCAGGAACAGGAACCTGCTCACTGCTTGTGGAACCGAGTTTAGTCTGCCTTGCTCTGTCACAGTTCCAGGCTATATGGTCGCACTTGGGGGAGCAAGGCCCCCCAATACCTGGGATGTTGCTTTTTCCCTTGCTCTTTTCTCTGCTCCCCATGAGCAAATGCTTGTGAGGCTGTGGCCAGGCTCAGAGGCCCGGTCTCCCCATCCCGTGCCTTCCTGACACTCCCCAGTTGCAGCAAGGCCAGCAGTCCCAAGCCTGGCGGTGCCTCCACTCCTCCTACACCCTGCATGCCTGCGCCTCCTCACCTGACACAGCACCACGGCCGCCTCCAGGAAGCCCAGGGCCTGCTGCCTGCACAGCTGCACAAGGCAGAAACATGCCATGCTTCAGGACACAGACCACCTCTGCTGTGTGCCCCATCCCAGTTCTGGTCCTTGCTGGCTCTGCAACCCAGGTGGGCTTGTCATCACCAGGTCCTTTGTGTCCTGCCATTTCCACCCAAATGTGCTTTCCAGGGTTGTCCCTTCCTTGTGCCCCTCCAGGAAAGCAACTGTCCCCCACATCCTGGCAGCTCCCTGCTTCCTTGTACCGTCCTCCCATGGGGCCTGAATCGCAGTTGGGCCAATGAACCAATTTGCAAAGTGCTCCAGGGACAGAAAATAGTCGGTGTCCCCAGGAGAGTGGCTGCAGTTGGGATGGGGAAGAGTGCTGCCACAAGGGACAGCACCCCTGCTCACAGGACGTTTTCCCAGCTGTGCTTAGGACACCTGGACAGCTGTGGGCAGTGGCAACTCACAGCCAGGCTGAGGCTCCCCTTCTTTTGCCAGTGGGAGGGGGGAGCATGGCTGCTGCTCCCCTGCCAGTGACCAGTATCTCTGGACCTGAATGTGGAAGGCCTGGGGCTCTACCTAACCACAGTCACAGGCTCCCACAGGAATCACCATACAGAGCTGCTGCAGAGAGGGCTGCCAGGGCAGGGTCAGGATGCCTGAGAAAGGCCCTGCCGCCCGTGCCATCACAGCAATGCCACAGAGGCAGGGATACTCTGCAACAAACATTTATGTACATACACTCATCCACACATGCGACACACACACACTTACATGGACATGATGCGCATGTGTACACAGCTGCATGCTGGACACACATGTACACATTCACAGCAAGACTCACATGCATGGAGGGCACACGCGCCCATACCCTGAGCTACTCAGGAAGGCTAGGTGTGGTAGTGCATGCTTAAATCCCAGCAGTAGGGAGGCTGAGGCAGGAGGTTCTCCGTAAATTCAAGGCCGTCCTCAGCAACATAGCAAGCCCTTATCCAAAAAAAAAAAAAAAAAGTGACTAGGAAGAACACAACTGTACTCCTGGCATTCTGGGAGGCTCAGAAGGAGAACTGCAAGTTTGAGCCCAGCCTGGGCAACTTACCAAGACCCTGTCTCAAAATAAAAACCTGAAAAAGGACTAAGGACGTAGCTCAGCAGCACAGTGCCCACCTAGCATGCATGAGGCTCCAAGTTCAACCCTTAGTACCAGAGCCTGGGAGAGAGCTTGGGTTTCATCCCACAGCTCTGCCTAGTAGTGCGGGACCAATGGGGCCACAGAGAACCTAAGCCCTCAAGAAGCCTTTCCTCCCCCGGCCCCGACTTCTGCCCTTCATCCTGGCCCTGCTCAGGCCCCTGTCACCTGAGCCCAGGCCAGACCGGTGGCTGTGTGGCTATTTTTAAGTCCTCCTCCTTGGCTTGTACCCCACCCCCACAGCTCGGCTCCCACTGGCCACCTGCCCCTCCCGGAATGCTGATTGGCAGTTGGTGGGGGTGGGGGCTGGGGCCAGGCCTGGGTGTAGATAAAGCGGGGGTGCTAGGGAGGTGGCCCTCGCTGTCTGGAGCCCAGGTCCCCTGGCCAGCATGGCCACCCACCGCGTGGTGATGGTCCGCCATGGCGAGAGCTCCTGGAACCAAGAGAACAGGTTCTGCGGCTGGTTCGACGCAGAGCTGAGTGAGAAGGGGGCTGAGGAGGCCAGGCGGGGGGCCCTGGCCATCAAGGAGGCCAAGATGGAGTTTGACATCTGCTACACATCGGTGCTGAAGCGCGCCATCCGTACCCTCTGGACCATCCTGGACGGCACAGACCAGATGTGGCTGCCCGTGGTGCGCACCTGGCGCCTCAACGAGCGGCACTATGGCGGCCTCACGGGCCTCAACAAGGCGGAGACTGCCGCCAAGCACGGCGAGGAGCAGGTTAAGATCTGGAGGCGCTCCTTTGACATCCCACCGCCCCCTATGGATGAGAAGCACCCCTACTATAGGGCCATCAGCAAGGTGGGCCGCTGCGAGGGCCTCAGGGAACTGCGGGGCTGGGCGCCTTGGGGCTGGGATGGTGGGGGCCCGGTGTCCCGCCAGGAAGTGGGAGTGTCCTTGCACCCCCTAGGACCGCCGCTATGCAGGGCTGAAGCCAGGGGAGCTGCCCACCTGTGAGAGCCTCAAGGACACCATCGCCCGGGCCCTGCCCTTCTGGAATGAGGAGATCACCCCCCAGATCAAGGCCGGGAAGAGAGTGCTCATCGCAGCCCACGGCAACAGCCTGCGGGGCATCGTCAAGCACCTGGAAGGTGAGCCCACCTTTGGGGGCCAGAGAGGCAGAGGGGGGAAGGCAGCTGCTCAACTCTCCTTTCCTGAGCCCCGACATGAGGCGGCTTAGCAGATGTGAGGAGCTGACCAAGGCCCAGAACAGAACAAGTTGAGACCACTTAAGAAACAGATGAGTAGGGGATGGGAACTTAGCTCAGCGGCATAAGCTCCTACCTTGCAAGCAGTCATGAGTTTGATGCCCAGTATTGATGAAAAAAAAAGAAAAATAAGAAAATAAAAAAGATGTGTAACATGCAGGCTTCTGTGCAGGACACTGCTAAGATGTCGAGCCAAGCAGGGACGGATGGGCAACACGGGGCACCCAGCCCTGGGATATCCAGCCTGAAGGGCCCAGTCTGGGCTCTGGCTCCAAGTCCTGGTGTGCTGTGGGACCCTGCACAGGCCACTGCGGAGCATGCAGAGCCCGGCACTTTACTCCCTGCCTCTCAATGTGGGGTTCAGCCCAAGCAGGACTCTGCACCCTATACCTCTAGGCAGAGGTAAAACAGTTAGAGGGGTGCAGAACTATGGGACTGCTGAGGATTCAGTTGGGGTTTTTTTTTTGGCATTTTTTCCTTTTTATCAGTACCAGGGATTGCAAGGTAGGCGCTTATGCCGCTGAGCTAAACCCCCAGCCCCGAGGATTCAGTTTTAAAGTGGGGCTCGCACTGAAGAGCAAGGTGGGACGACTAACAGGCCTTGGGGAGCCAGAGTGTGTGTCCAGGGCTGCCTGGATTAGCCTTGGCATGGCCTTCACTCTTGCTGGGGATATAGTGAGGGAGTTGGGTATCCTGGACCTGTCCTGGGGCACTGATGGAGAACCCGAGGTGTGACAATCCACCCTCTCCTGGGTGAAGAGGCACAGTGGTATGACCTCACAGGGAGTGGGGTGGCCCTAACTCTGGGGATTAATCCCAAGGCCACCTGCTCCTTGAGGGCAGGGTGGCACCAAAGCAAAGGTTGCACTGCTATTCTGGGCTGGGGTGTCAGGACAGGCGTGTCAGGTTTCCACTGCGCCCCTGCTCAGAAACTTGGAAACTGAACGGCCCATATCCCTCAGTCTGGCCACTTCACATGGGACTGAGACCTGGGCAGCACCGGCTTAGGTCACAGCTGCTCTCGAGGGTGAGGGCTAGTTGGCCCTGGGCTATTTCTGTAGGCTATGCAGTCTCTGCCTGACCTTTAGGCCACTATGGACTTACTCCCGGGACTAGGTTGGCACGGGGTGTGGGGGGGGCCTGGGGCCTGGCCCTGTGGCCCACAAAGGCTGTGGTGCTCACTGCACGACTGGGCAGCTAAGGATGCTGCTTCCGGGTGCAGGAATGTCAGACCAGGCCATCATGGAGCTGAACCTGCCCACGGGGATCCCCATCGTGTACGAGCTGGACCAGGCACTGAAGCCTACCAAGCCCATGAGGTTCCTGGGAGATGAGGAGACGGTGCGCAAGGCTATGGAGGCTGTGGCTGCCCAGGGCAAGGCCAAGTGAGGGTGATAGGAGCAATAAAGCATCTCTGCATACCACCTTGAGTCCCACGTGACCAGCTGTGCCAGCGCCACAGCCTGCCTGGCTTGTGCCATGAACTGAGGACCCTAGGTGCACACCCACATCACTGGGGCAGCAGTACTGGCTGTTAGGCTGTGCTAGGACAAAGTTCACCCCAGAGCCACCTTCTATGGGGACAGATGAGGCCATGGGGCCTCAAAGCCAAGGGTGGCAGGCTAGGCTTGGTCATCACTTGGTGTCCATCTGCACCCAGTTCCCCTCCACCACACCTGGGCTGCACAGTGGGGTTGAAAGATTTCGGTCACATCTTAAGGTCTGTGTCTCTTCTCATGGCTCACTGGCCACAGGGGTGGGAGGGCATCTGTGTACACACAGATATACCGCACATGCATACCCCCTCCACAAACACCCCAGGCTAAAGTGGATGCAGCCCCAAGTGGGTCCGCTCCTACACAGGCCTGAACCAGAGGCTGGAGATCACCCCAGAATGCCTAGATTTGTTCTTCAGACACTTGGATAGACTGGGGCAGAAAACAGGAGGCAGCAGGCATGGGCCCCAGAATCTAGCCCCAGCCAAGGCGCACACTGGGGCTGGCAGACACAGAGTGAGCCACACAGGACACGCTGTGTCTTTTTGATTTTTCACACACCCAGAGATGGGAGCCTGGTCTCTGCACTGCCACTTCCCGTGGCCTGGACACAGGGACAGGGAAATGGATGTGGTGGGGCAGGCTTGGCAAAGGCCAGCCCCCTGCTCACTGGAGTCACGGTCCACTCTGACTTTGGTCACACATCCTACTGAAGGCAACTAAGTTCACTGTTCCCAAGGGTCATTCTAACTGCAGTGGCCACCACCTCTTAAAGGCCAAAGAGGAAAGAAAAAAGGCTAATTAGAAGGCAGCCTTCAGCTATCCCTGCTTAGAGCCCCCTAGCTTAGTGGTGGTCACTGTCACCAGGCAGGGGTCACCCAGGAATGGCCACAATGTGCTTGGCTTGGCCTCCTCTGGGCCCAGGTCCAGGCTGGCAGGCGACCTCAGAGGCTGCAGCAAGCGTGTCTGGGTTATTGCTCTTCCTGAGTGACGGAGCCTGAGCCACCTAGCAGAGGGTGTCCCACAGCCTCGTCCACCTCAGGTCCCGTCCTGGAGATGCCCAGTGTTAGCTCTGGGGCCTCCTCTCCTCATAACCAGGAAGCCTAGGCCGGGTGGGGACAGAGACTGGGCTCCCCTCACTCAATGAGCTCCACGTAGTTGGCAGGGAACATGCCGAAGTGGCCATCAGGCCCAAAGCCACGCCACCAGCCTTCATCAATCACCTCGATGCCCGTGATGAGGTTCTCGGGGTCAAAGGAGATCTCTGTGTCATCGGCTGCAAGGACGGCAAGCCCAGGTGCTTCATCAGGGTCCGTCCCCTTGTTGACCCCACCCCCCAGCACAGCTTCCTACAGTGTCCCCTTCCTGTTGCCAAGGCCTGCCCCTGAAAGAACTTCGAGCCAGCGTCTAGGGCCAGCTCTCCCATCTGGTGTCTGCCAGGCCATGAGGGGAGCCCAGAGCCAGGCTCCCACCCCACACTCACTTCCACCTGGCATCTCCTACCCTGGCCCCTGGTGCTGGTCCTGAGAGTCCCAGGAGCTCTTATTCCCCACCCTTGGACCGGTGGCTGGACACTCACCTGCCTGGTAGTCGTACAGTGCCCGGGCACACAGCCCCTGCCCACCGAGCCCCTGGCCCTGCATGTAGTGGTCAATGTGCTGAGAGTTGGCGCCTTGCTGCTCCACCTGTCAGGAGTGAGAGGGGATGTCACCCCGGCCCAGGCTGTGACATGGCGGGATCCATGGCACTGGGGGTGCTGCTATTCCCAAGGGCCCACAGCACGGCTGCCTCCCCAAGCCAAGAGAGAGTGCCAATCCCTCCATGCAAGGACACAGCAGCCATACCCGACTCAGCACTGGGCTGCTGCCGTGTCAAACCCCCAAGAGCCCCTCAATCCCAGTGTGCCGTAGAAACCCAGGCCTGTGGCCCTCACTGTCCCGGCTGCAGAACCTACCAGTGGCGGCTCCTCATAGAGGGCCTCCTGCGGCGGGGGCTCCTCATACTCGGCTTCCTCCTCTGCCTGCACTGGACATGGAGGGCTGCTGGGCGCCGGCTCCTCACAGACATCTGTGTAGAGGACATGGCACATCCGCCTCACCTTCCTGCCACCTCCCTCTCCACGTCTGTCCCTCCCGGGGACCCATGGTGCCAAGAGCCTTGCCTGCCCCGGGCCTTGCAGTGGCGAGAGCTGGCTCTCTGCCAAGTGACATCTCCGGCTGGGTGAGCTGCTTCTGCAGGAAAGGACTTCGCAGCTTGCCTGCAAAACCACACATGCTTCAGAAACCAACCACCATCTACACCCAAGCCACAGGGACCAGGGTGGTGAGTGACACCATCACCAGCGAGGTGAAGGCCCCAGCTGTGCTCCTTGCTTACTCGTCCCTGGTCACCCTCTGACACGTCACTAGCTTCGAGGGCCCTGCTCAGGACTCCAGCTTCGCCACCTTGACCTCCCTCATGGCCAAACCCAGAGCGGGGTCCCACCTGGCTGCACACTGGGCATGGAGGTGGTGGACATGGCTCGCTCCTTCTGTTTGAAAATCTCCCGTGGGTGCGCAGCCTGCAGCCCGGTAGACTCCTGGGGACACAGTGGCACCATGGTGAGCTGTTCACCTCCCCATTGCCACCAGAGCAGATAGACCCAGCAGGCTGGGGAGGTGGGGAGCCAAGGGGCCAAGCAGGCTGTCCAGCAGGCTGGACAAGGTGCTCACTGGCACCTCTGATGCATCCATGTGCACCCCAGTTTGCTGCATGGGTCTGGGCTCAGTGTGGATCCAAGATGTGACAGGTATGCGTCCAGACCTGTGAGATCCAGGCCCAAGGGCCACACCCAGACTCACCCACTCTTCTCTGTTCCTTGAAGCCACTTCCTGTGACTGCTCACATGTCCTGCTGGGAAGACCAGGTTGGGGACAGCTGAGGTGCTGTCTCCCTGCCCTGAGGGACTAAGCGAGCACCCAGGCCAGCTTACCTCTGCTGCTCCTGGTAGTGCTGTTCCCGGCGGGCGGCCTCCTGCAGCTCCCGCTCCCTGCGCTCCTGCTCCAGCCGCCGCTGCTCCTCCTCAGCCCGGCGCTTCTCCTCTAGTCGCCGGTTCTCCTCTTCCTTCTGCAGGGACAGCAGCCTGCTCAGCTTGTGCTGTCCCTGGTCTCATGGGTACAAGGCCACGGGTGGACACCACAGCCTAGCAGTCACCTGCTTGTGACTCGGCTGAGCCAGCTGCACATGGCGCCCCCACCCCAGCACTCACCTCAGCTTTGGCCCAGAAGCTGTCTTTGCCAACCCGCTTTATCTCAGACATGGCATTGGTCTTCTGGTACACGGAGCCCTGCAGGCACAGCACAGGCTAGGGTCCTGGCCAGGGGAGGACCAAGCCCAGAGCCAGGGGCCACTGTGCAGCCTACCCCTACCGGTCAGGAGATAGCACCATAAAGTCCACAAAGAGGCCAGGAAGCTGTGTGGCAGGGAGCTGAGTCCTGACATCGCAGGAGGCCCCTCTGGTGGCAGCCAGACCTCCTGCATGAGGCGGGGACCAAGGCAGTGAGGGCCCAATTTGCAGGCCCCGCCAGGCTGCTGCTCAGGAATCCTCGGGAATTGCCACAGAGCCACAGGTCTGCACCAGCTTCCAGCTGTGAGCTCCAGCCAATGCCAGGCCTATAGGCTGGCAGGTTTCTCCCCATTCAGAGGAGCTCTGGGTTTGGGGTCAGCTCTCACACTCCCTGAAGTCAGGCCATGTGGCCAATGCTAGGGCCCACCCAGGTCCTGGTGGTGCGCTGCAGGGTCATAGGTCCCCTGTCAAACACAGCTGGGATCAGATGGCTCCAGGTCACCCAGTCAGACGAGCAGCTGGGTTCGGTGACTCCAGGACTTGGATCCCCAGGCAACAGCAGCAGCACTCACCACCGGGGCCTGTGGGCCTATGTCCTGGAAGCGGCCACTCTCCCTGTGGAAGCTGTAGTTGGCTCCGGAGGCCTTGGCCACCTTCTCCATGATGCACTCGGGCTCTACATCCTCCTCAGCCCGCGCATTGATGGTCACATGGGCCCCCTGCACAGGAAGCAGCGCTCAGAAGATGGCTTCGGGGAAGTCGGGCCGATTCCCGTCGTCTGCACAGCACGGCCCTGCCATGCTGGGCTGGGGCCAGAGACCTGGGGTGCTGGGAACCAGGCCCTGTCCTATGCCACACAGTCCCTGCCACCCAGGCAGCTGCACGAAAGGCCTCCTTCCTTTCTACATTTCTTCATTTTCTACAAAAAACAAGTCACTCATTTCCTCCTGAGAAGCAGGTGAGGACCTCATTCACTGCTCTAGGGAAGCCTGGAAGCCTTGCTGGGGGGCAGCTCAGCGGTGGAGAGCACACCTAGCATGCAGGGAGCCTTGGGTTCTGTTCAGCACTGCAAAAGTAAATGAACCCAAAGTGGGGGTGGGAAGCCTGACAAGAAGCCTGGAAGCCTCTCTGCCAGCTACTAAGACAGAAAAGCTGAGGCTGTCCAAGACAGCGGCAGAGTCTCCTGGCAGCAATCAGGGGATGCAAAGTCACCCGACTAGAGAGCTACACATGACTTCCACCAAAAATGCTTTTGAAATTGAGTCCTGGTGCTGCTGTGAGACACCTGCCATGGATACTTGCAGAGAGGGACTAGACAGAAACCCATGAAGGGATGCACATTGGGGTGGTGGCACAGCAACCTTGACCTTTCTCCAAGTCCTGACAACCCCATTGCACTGATTCATAGACAATACAGAACTAGGGTGCGGCCCTGCCCATAAAGTCAGCTCCAGCATGGCCCTTTTCCCTGCTCTGCTGAGGATACCTCCCTGCCTCCCGACCCTGCAGGCCGGGGTGAGTGGGCCAGGGCAAGTATGTGTGATTGTGACGGCTTGCTCCTGATCAAAGCTCCCTCACAGCTGGGGAACCTGATCTATTGGGGCCCTCCTGGGTAGCAGGGAGGTCTCAGCTCTCACCTTGAGGAAGTTGGCCATGGTGCTGACATGGTTGGCGCATGCTCCCTTCCGCACATCATTCACGCCCTCGCCTGTCTGCAATGCAAGTTTGCCCAGAGTGACCTAGGCCTCTTCCCCAGCCACTTCCCCTTCCACAAGTTCCCATGCACCCAGCAGCTTCACCTCTCCCAACCTAAGCACAGCTGAGGCTGCTGGTGTTCACTGTGGGGCGTTTTCCCAGCCCCCAGGGAGTTGTGCTCTGCAGAGGGCCCCTGACCCTACAGCCCACCAGACTCTCTGTACTCTAACCTGAGGGAATGAGCCAGAAACTTCTCATGACCAGTTTTACAGCTTTTGCAGGAATAATTCTGTGTAGTAACAGCAGTTACTTCTTTTTTTTCCCCTGAGACAGGGTATCACTATATAGTTCAGGTTGGCCTTGTACTCAGGATATATATATATATATAGCCCAGCCCATGTGATCCTCCTGCCTCAGCCTCCCAAGCGCTGGGATTTCAGGCATGCACAACCATGCCCTGCTTTAACACTGGTTATTCTTTAGCTCACTGTAAATTCACTGACACTTCAGCTCATTTCCCAGCTCACAGGTGTTATCTATTAAGTCATGCCAGTAAAACACTGCTCCTGAAGTCATGTCAAAGCAGGAAAAGACAGGGGACTTTCCCTGGTCACACAAAATGAGAGGGGTCCACGTACCCAGTTGATGAGGACAAACTTGGGCAGGCCAGAGTTGGGGTCCTTCACCCTGCAAAAGGCGTACATCACCTTCCCGCTGTTGAGCTCCTCCACCAGCTCCTCCAGGCCACCCTCTGCAGAGTCACAGCAAGGGTCAGCGTGACAGCTGGCTGCCAGCCCCCTGTCCACCAGGGCTCCTCTCTCCATCCACTTCAGAACCCCCCTGGGGCTGGGTAGCGCAGGTGGCACAGTGCCTGCCCACGGTGTTTGTGGTTCCATGTGCTATCCTCAGGCCAAAAAAGAAATCAAACTCCTGGGTCCCACCCCAGCCAGGCAGACCGGGCAGAGCTGGCAGAACCCAGGGACCTCCCTTGCTTGACAGACACCTCAGGTGACATTTGAGTCACACTAGTTTAAAAACTACTCCTCTAAACCCACAAACAACTGTGGAAATGGAAAATAAATGTCATCTCCACTGCAGACCAGATACCAGACTTGCAAATGGCTCTCCATACCAGCTGTACGGTTACCTAGACCCCATGAAGAGCCCTAGACATACATGTCCTCTGGGGGTCAGGGTCACCACGAGGGCCACACCTTTCAGTGTCCTGTATCTGACATCGCTCTCCCGCTCTGCCCAGGCTGTTCCCCTGCTGTCCCCCCTCCCCTACCCCCCGGCCTCCCTGCTTGGAGGAACAGGCAAGTGCGGAGCTGTGGGCTGCACAGAACATGGGCCATCAACATGCTGTGCTTGCAGCAGAGTCCAGCATGATGCCACCAGGACAGGAGCAGGAACCTCAGATTGCTGAGCCCTGCGGTTCCCAGGCAGCCACTGCGTCACGTGAGAGGACCATTCAACATAATCCTTCCAGAAAGAGGCCGAGGCCGAGAGAAGAGCATGCGGAGGGAGAGCTTCCTATCAACAGCAGCAGAAAACCACATTGGTCTAGCTAAGCAGGGAACATTCCAGGCGCTATATGGGACAATGAAACCAGGTCCTGCTTGGGACCGGGAGTGGGGTAGGCCAGGCATAGCCTTCAGCCTGGAGGAGCCAGGGGAACCAGCTGATGTGCAGGTCTCACCCCAGCATCTTTGGCTCAGCCTACCTGCCAGTCCCTGCCCAGTGGTGGCCAGGAACCGGTCCCCTGACCCCAAGAACCCCAGTAGAGTCCCTATTGCTACCTGCAGAGATGCAGCCTCTCCCAGGAATTCTGGGGCTGTGTGCACTTGCCCAAGGCCAGGGCAGGATACAACTGTAGGCCTTCCCTACTCGAACCAGCTATGAGACTGGCATCTTCCAGCTGCAGCCCAAGGTGCAGGCTGTGAGCCAGAAAGGGCTGCTGCTTGCCCCACCCTCCTCACAAACCTGGGATACAGCAGTGCTGCCTGTGCCCAGGCCAGGAGACCTGAGTAGAATGTGTGCTTCACTCAAAAACACCTGAAACCCACAATGTACAATGCTCTGGCCACCAGCTTGCCTGGCATTAGCCTGTACCCCAACAAGCAGCCAGGGAACCCTCAGTGGCACAGAGCCACCCACTCTCCTACAGGGAGGCATCATCACAGCTCAGCCACATGCAGGGGTCACCTGACTCCCAGAGTTTCCTTTGTCCTACTGCAATGGTTAAAAGCCAGGTGAGAGGAACCAGTGATCCTCACAGCGCTCTCCCCTTCCCGCTGCTCATTCCTGGAGCTGAGCCCCAGTGGGCCACACTCACCCCCAGTGCCGGCCACACGGATGTCATTGCTGTTGCCCTCGTAGGTAAAGAGAGCCCTGAAACAAAACACAAGCTGGGTCAGGGGCTGGCGGCTCTGTCACTCATCAGTGCAGCATAGCAGTGCACACATGCCCTGCCTGCCCTGCCAGCCCTGTCCTGCTGGGACTTGCGGAACAGGTTCTGCAACAGGCTCTGGGCAGCTGACTACCCTGGGGCGGGAAGTTCACAGCCACTCACAGGAAAACATAAGCCATGGAGTCTTAGAATGACTTTCTACAAGTTCACATGTGAGATGCTCACCCAGCTATGGGTGCAGGAATTTGAAGACGAAAGATGCCTCCACAAGCATGAACCCAAAGCACCACTATGGAGGAGGCAGAACAGGAAGAGGACACTGAAGCAACCTCCCGGGCTGCCTGTAAGTCTCCTCCTACCCTCCTTCTTTGGCAGTATTGGAAATGGAACCCAGGGCTTTGCCCAAGCTAGATAAACACTCTATCACCGAGGTACACCCATGGCCCTCCTGTAAGACTGGAAAAGATTGTGCCTTATAAACTTGTGCTTCAGTGGTGGTGAGACATCATTAAATCTGAGCCATGGAAAGGCTCTGAATCAGAACAAAGATCACCCAAGAGCATTCCTAAAGTGCTGCCTGGTATGGTGGTATAGCACTTGAGAAGCTGAGGCAGGAGGATAGCCTCAATCTACATAGTGAGTTCAAGACCAGCTTGAACTACATAGTGAGACTCTGTCTTAAAAACACCAAAGAAAAAATTTATAAAAAGAACATTCCAGAAGAAGTGGTCACCAAGAGGCATGCTATGCATGAGGCTCCCACAGTGAGTCCAGCTGCCAGCACTAACTCCACACTGAATCACCTCCACCTCCTGGTCTGGCAAAGGCCAAACCACGGTCACCTCCCAGTTAGGGATGGAAGCTCTGGAGTAAGGGACTTGTTGGTGCTACTGGGCAGCGTGTATGCCAGGAAAGGATCAAAGAAATCAGACCTAGTCAGTGGTAGGTTACAAAGAAAGAGCCAACACTTCCCAGGAGAGGAATCACAATCCAGCAGGAGCCACACTCAAGAGAAAAGACCACAGAAACGGGAGAAAAATGGAGGGCTTTGGTGGTGAACCTGCAGTGTGATGATGCAGTTCCAAAGTTTCACCATCACTGACTCAGGAGGTAGATGTAGGAAGTAGGCGCTCAGCCTGTTGCTGGAGTCTTTAGAGGAAGAAGCCCTTTCCTCTTGATGGCCATAAACCCTGGCTGCTGTGGCATGGGGACTGGCATGAGCAGCAGGGAACAGAAGTTGGTAGCTTGGCTCTCCTAAGGAGGGACCTGGCACCTAATAAGGCCAAGCTCACTGCCTGCTGCCTACACCTCAACTCATCCCCCAGCCCTGAAGCTCCACTTTTAACCACCTTCAAGAATGTTCCCAGCTCAGAAGCTCATTTCTACCCTCTATGTAGTTCCACCCTTCTTTCAGGCCAGCAGAGGAAACAGTGCTCAGGCCCAGGCATGGCAAGGTGTGTGGGGTGCCACACACCTTATCACTCTTTCCAAATATGTGCGCTGAGGACTTACTATTTACGAAAGGCCCCGCCCAGGGAACTGACCTTCCAACAGGAGACAAACCACATACCTAAAGCAAATGTCCTGTGCAGCAGGCACAGGAAGTGACATATGAACCACATGAGAACAAATCATGCCAAGATCTGGAGGGAGAAGGCTGGAGACAGATCCAAGATGGCGAGCAGAAGTGCCAGCCTCAAGGCCTCATGCAATGCTACTTGCACTTTGTGAAACCCTTCACCAAACTGGAGGCCACATCTGCCTCCTCTGATGTTCTCCAATTTTTCTGTACGCTCAGTCCAGCCTTCACCCGAGCACTGAATCCATGTAACGACTCCATACCAGGGACAGGGGAAAGACAGGGCCCACTGCCCTCCTTCTAGTGAAGGCAAAGGTGACAAGGAAACCAGGGAAATTTCTGGCATGTGCACAGCACACAGCTGAAGGAAGTGAAACGGGAATCCAGGAAGGTGACCTCAGAGCAGAGGTGAAGGCTGAGGAGCCACCTGCTTGACTAGAAGTGTGTTCCAGGAGAGGGAGCAGCAAGGGGAAGGGCTCTGAAGAGGAACCAGCTTGCAAGTTTGAGGAAGAGAAAGATGGCTGAGAGCGGCGGTGAACAGGTGTGGTGAGTGTGGTAAGCAGGAGGGGCAGTAGAGCAAGGAGCCTGGGCTTTATTTAACGTGCAACAGGAAGCCACCGCAGTTCTGGGCAGGGAAGTGAGATGGTCCAGATACTGCTCAGTTAATGACTGGGGACCTGCCAAACGCTCTGCTGAGTAACTACATCCAATAACTGTGGCAAAGAGGAGCAGGCCAGGGGCCAAATCAGAATCCCACAGAGCTACAGGAGGCTGGGGGTGATGAGGGCAGCATGGCTGTCAGGCAATGAGTATAGTAAGAGAGCTCAGCATCCTCAGGGGGAGACAGCAGGTCAGCCCCAGCCTGGGTGGCAGGAGGAAGCCTGCACTGCCAGCTGGTTGTGGGGCATCCTCCTGGAACCAGCGACAGTTCCTGAGAAGACTGAGATGCCATGGAGGTACAGAGGAGACAAGAACGCAGCCAAAGGGAGGTGGCTGTGGCTGATGACAGCAGCATAGCCTAGCTGGGCAACAGGAAAAGGCCCCACAAAAACCCACTACAGGGGCAGGGGCAGGAGAGAAGGCCTGGGTGCTGGCCACGGGGTGGTCCCTCCACAGCTCCACCTCTCAGATCCCTTTTCTATTCCCCAGGGTTGGTCACTCCATCTTACTCAGCATATTTCTCAGAAATGAAAGTGCTAAAAACTGGTCAGCGCAAACAATTTAACCAATGGGAAAATGAAAGAAAATTACCATATAAAGCCATGCATGCTGCAGAGAGTTGATCTGTGTAGGGGCTGCCAGGGTTACCCCCAGAAACTTAGATCCACACTCCTGCTACTGCAAGCTCCAATAGCTGCATGGTAAGACCTTTATTCTGACCCACAGCCTAGAATACAACCTGGGCTGGTGAAGGGAAGAAGAAACCTTCTTCCTGAACAGGTGGCCAGCAGCCTACTTTTATCTTCCTATGACTCTGACACAGGAAAGAGAAAGCGACGTCCTGACAACCATATTGGCAGTGAAGCAGGGACCCAGCACTCTGGGCTTTTTGTCAGCCTCCAGCGCAAGCTCCTGTCCCCAGCCCGGGACCTGGACGCCAGCAAAGGCCCTTCTGGGTGAGGGGCTGCAGAGGTCCCTTTCTCCAGGGAAGTCGGGGCCGGCAGGCACCAGCGAGCCGAGTATCCTACCCGGAGCCCCGCCAGGCGGCGCGCGGCGACCAGGGAGGGTCACGGCACCTCGCTGGCGCAGGGAGAGAAGGTGGGGAGCCCGACGCCCCCTGCACCCGCTCCTCCTACGCCCCCAATATTCCCTGCCCGCGGCCCACCAGTCAGTTGGGGACTTCTCGTCGACCACCAGCCCGTAGGCCTCCTGCAGTGCCGGCCCGTTCCGGCTCAGGTTCGCCGCCATGGTCCGTCCCGCGGTCCCCAGCAGTAGCTGCCGCAGCTTTCCGACCAGCCACCCCCGACAGCCGGAAGCCCCGCCCAGTGGCCGGAAGCCTCGCCTCTGTCGATCGGAAGCCCCGCCTCGGAGGCCGGAAGCGGAAGTGGAGGCGGGGGCAGTCAGTGAGTTCGGGTATGTTGTCTGCTGGTCGGCTGTCAGGGGTATCACCCGGGTCATTGCTTTGAGCTCTCACACATTCTGCTCTAATTGGCACAGTTAAAGCACTTCTTCGAGAGTTCTCAGATTCACGAGGCCTCCGGACGGGATTCACCGAGCGTGTTTTGGATCATCAGAATTCTGATCTATGCGTACATCAACGAATACGTGAATAAATGTTAGGTGACGATTGCACTGCAGCTTTTGTGCTTTTTACTCTTATTTGTGTTTTTTCCCTGAGCAATTTAGTTGAGGCCAGATGATGGAGGTCACAAGACAGCCCATGTCCTGCGTCACCTCCACATGGGGGTGACTGCTCTGCCAGGAAGAGGCCCATCTTGTCTCTATCCACTCACTTACAGGAAGCGCCAGTTCTTTCCATCTACAAATGTGCCCACACTTTCATCTTCCCGCCTACCTGAAGGGGAAGGGGCTAAGACAAATACAGCTCACCACTTCCTTCCTGGCCATCAGGAAACAACTCCATCTACTTGGCCGCCAGGGCTCATCCTGGGGTTCCAGGACCCCCAGGAAGTCTGGAAGCTAGTTTGAACATTTCAGTCAAGCTCAGGAGATCCTACCCTTGATATAGGACATGTGCAGGAACTTGTTTCAATAGTGGAAATTAAGACAATGACTTTATAGACAAAAGCTTTGAATGGAAGAGAGAATAGGGAAAGAGTTTCAGTTTTTGAAGGAAAATAAGCAAAGAGGGTACAGGTCTGGTAGAGATCAGACGGGTACATTAACAAAACAATGGGTCTAGTTTTTATGGTTTCCCTGAGGTTAAAGCTAGTAACTTTCTTCAGGGGCTAATATGGCTTTTCTCCCTCCTGGTTTTAGAGTATTTCTTCATAGTGTGAAATATGTATTAGCAGCTATTTTTGATGATAAAAAAAGAGGTTACGGGGCCAATGCATTCCATACATTATTAGCAAGCCCAAACGGGGAGATGGCTCCATGTTAAGTAGGTGACACATTGTTATGGCTGTGTCTAGATCTCCCTCCAGAGCCTCATGCAGTCATAGGGGCGTTTTCAGGGGTCCCTGAATCTAGAGTGTGGGAGGCTGGGATTGACTCATGGGGCAATGCTAGGATGAAGGACACTAGGATTCAGGATGGGAGTGGTACTCATTCTAAATAGCCTAGATAAGCAATAACAGAGCTGTGGTGGTCCCTTGTTGATTTGCTGCCTTTTGCCCACCATGAACTGTTTCTCCTCTGTGATGCCTGTCTACCATGCTACCCTGCTTTGGAGCCAACTGATTATGGACTGAAATCTCTACAACTGTGAGCTAAATAAACCTTTCCTCCCTTAACTTGTGGGTGTTGAGTATTTTGTCTCAGCAAAAGTAACTAAGATATACATATAGATCAAGGTCTAAGAATCCATGTCTCCTGTCCCAAGAGGGTATATGTCCTATTTCACCCTTATCTGAAATCAGGTTGTGCAAACCAAAGGAGCAGGTCCCTATGTTCTGGAATTAGATCAGCTCAGTGTGATGACTGGACTCATCCCTGTGGGAAAAGCAGGAAAACCCAGAGTCCATGGAGAGAAGGCTGAAGGGTCTCATGGCGGGATCTAGAGATGTGCATAGCTTCCTCCTCCTACTCGTGTATGAGGATCTGATTCAGCCTTGAACATTACAAGTGCTTATCAATACTTTGATAATGCCACTTAACAAAATTGGAAAATTATGATGGCCAGGTAGCAGTGACAATCTTACTTGCAGAACCAATCCCTGGAGATTAGACAGATTGGGGAGGGGGGAGCATGGTGAGGGTAGGGTCTGAGAGGCGGCTATTGTGCTCTTTGGCAATACATATACAAGAGGCAGCTTTATGTTGCCTCCCAATGTGCAGCCTGGCTGAGCAGCTATCCTTGAGAATACCCTGTTACATGCAGCTGGGTGCCATCAAGCTCACCAGTCGGTTGGGGACTTGGGAGAACCGAGAAGAGGGAGACTTAGTTTTAAGCAAAGTTGAGGAAGCCTGATAGGTTTTGTAGATTCTTGGTAGCTTTTTTGTTCGTTGTTTTAAATACAATCTATGAACAGAGCAAAGCAAGGTTATAAGGGCCATGAAACCAGCAAACTGACCTCAAGGAGTGAACACCAAGTCCTTCCTCCTCTTACTGGTGGGCAACAGGTGAAGCAGCCGCCTCTGGAAGGAATGCTGTTCAGGAGGGACTATTCTTCCTGCCTGCACAGCATCACGCTGCTATCTAAGGGTGCTGATAGCCACATCCTCCAATTTTCAGAGCATGAGCCTTTATGGCTAGATGTAGAACCGCTCCAGCCCTTATCTAGCACTGCAAGGGAGGAAGTACGTGCCAATCAAAGAACCAGCCTTGAGAAGGGAGGAGAAATAAGTGATTCCACTGAGCACAGGACTGGCTCTGTCTTTCAGTACCATGGACAGACCCTAGGCAGGCCTGCAGGCAAGGCCTATGAGCACCTCTGACACTGACGGAGGCTTTCTTCTGAATTTCAGAAAGAAATCAGGCCATTCTTGAGCAACTGCGGTGAGGCAGTGTGGAATTCTATAGACTGCTCAGTTATGATACACCAGGCCTGGTGGGCAAAGCACTCTGGCATTTTAATCCTTTGCCAGATTTTCACTTTAGTAACATTCTTGAAGTTCCTGGGCCTTCCTGGAGCCTGACAGAGAACCCAAACCTCAGCTCCACTCAACAAACTCAGAAGCTTCAGAGGATGTTAAGAGTTACTGAATGAGCCGGGTGTAGTGGCTCATGCCTGTAATCCCAGCACTTGAGAGTCTGAAGTAGGAGGGTAGTTGTGAGTTTGAGACCAGCCTGGGCTACAAAGTGAGCTCAAGGCTAGCCTGAACTGAATAGCGAGACCCTGTCTCAAAAAAGACCAAAAAAAAAAAAAAAAAAAGTTACTGATTTAACACAGATTAATTGCTTAAGATCGCTCACCTTCCTGATCATTGATTCAGAGGAAAAAAAAGCCACATTATTCCCAGGTGTGTGTGTGTTGATAAGATCTCACTCTGCAATTCGGGCTGGACTTATTATATAGCCCAAGCTGACCCTCAAACTCTTAGCTATACTCCTGCCGCAGCCTGCTGAGTCTTGGGATTACAGGCATGGGCCCCAAGGTTAAGCCAGCTGGCTTTATGGATCTGCTGTCTCAGGTGAATCCATGTCTGCAGACACCATGCTTCCACCTGTCTGCAGACATGGGTTCACCTTAGACTCTGACCTAAGGAGTTTGCTCTCTGGAATGAGCTGGGTCCTAGAAAGTATAGCAAGTTGGTAACTTTGCCACTGCAGAAAGTAGGGGATTTACAGGAGGACAAGTTAGTCTGAGGGGTCTGGCAAGTACAAAGCCTTCTTGAGACTTGCAATGAGGAAGTAAAAATTTACACTAGAGATTCCAAAGACCCAATTTTACTTTTTCCACTACATCTCCAGAACAAAGAACATGTTTGGGGGAATTCTGATTTTAGGAACTCTCCTTTTTCTGAAGTTACAAATTATATGCTTGAAAGAGTAGCATATGGATACAGCACCAACAGCATTCTGGGGCTGGATTTCCTCTCTGACTGGCGTCTAATGTGTATCAGAGCTCCCTTCCCACTCCATTAGTCAGCATCTGCAAAGTGCTCTGTGTGCTGAGCAGAAGTGCGTGCGTGATCTCACACTCCGCAGAGCACAGCTGCTGGGAGAGCACCGCAGCAAAGGCCCTCTCCCTACGTATCAAGGCTTTTCAGAGCGAGTAAGAGATTTAAAACAGTTAGGAGGAAATTTATAACAAAGGTCACAGGACCCCCAGAAAGCCTTATAAGGATTGCACGTGGGAACCTCCACAAAACAAATGTGATCAGGAGGCTCACTCTGTTTTATGCTTTGCCATGGTGGTGACCATGTGGCAATGTATCTGCCAATGAGGTCCAGACGTTACCCTGGGAGTTCCTGGAGTCCACCTTCCATAGCCACCTCGGCTGACCCCCAGGGCTGGATCTGGGCTTTTCCCCATCCCCTTGTAAAGGCTGTAGCTGGCCTCTGGTTTCCTAGTTACCCTGGGAGTTCCTGGAGTCCACCTTCCATAGCCACCTCGGCTGACCCCCAGGGCTGGATCTGGGCTTTTCCCCATTCCCTGTAAAGGCTGTAGCTGGCCTCTGGTTTCCTAGTTTTATGCCTCACCAGAGTCACTACCTGGGAGTAGAACAGCTTTATAACCAATCCTGAAAAAACTAGGTTGAATTTGGTTGTACAGATTTGAAACCCTTCAGCTTTCCTCCCTCTTTGGAGGCTTTGTTACAAATCTGCCTTTTCCGAACTAACCTAATCTCAAAGCTCTCAGCGCTAAGGGCACACCCGGAAGTGTATTCCAGCAGGGATTCCAGGCACCCAATGGCCTATTCTGACTCTGAAGAACCTGCTAAGTCTCCTTATCTTCCAGTCTGCCTGGAAGAAAAAGGGATACTTAAATGTCAATTATTACTGAGTTATGAGGAAACTCCTTTTTTTATTTACACTTGAAAGTCTTTCCCGATATTAGTGTTCTCTTCGGTGAATGGCTTACATTAGACTTTGTGTAGGTTCCTGATAGGAAGTGCTAGGGGTGGGGAACTCTCATCACATAGAAAAGAGCCTAAATCTTTCCTGGTTTATAATTTTTCTCTTACTTCTTTAAAAAAAAAAAAAGTCATCTGTCATGGGTGTTATGTGCTTTATATCCTGACATCTTCCACTTGCTGCTTCTTGGTGTGAGGAGAGAAATGCACCACGTAGACCCGCAGAGGAAGACGGCAGAAGCTGCAGAATGAGGCTTCTGTTTTCCAGTGACACTGTCCAAATTCCCAGGAGCCTCTGGGACACACTCAGACCCCTCAGGACATGGCTCTGTGGCAGACAGGATGCAAGGGAAGCCCACTCTGCCCTGGGGCTCAGGACAGCTCTGAGTTCTAAAGGCATAAGGGAACGTGGAGAGGGCCCAGCAGGGCTCCCACCTAGTGCCACAGGGAGTGCAGCGCTGCCAAAGGCTGACGGGGAAGGCGTGTGGGACCTTGTCCGCTGGAGAGAGCAGAAGACACAGGGCAGACGGACTGGTTTCAGTGTAACCAGGAAGGCTGCGGATCGTAACAATGGCTGCTGATTTGGCATCAAAAATATGATGCTGTTCAAGCCACAACGGCTGAGAGTGGCACCAACATGCTGTAATCAGACAGAGTGGGTGGCCAAGGTGTGTGGGGGAGAGATGACACTCTGTGAGTGGTACAGCCCACAGCTTGGCTTCAAGGGAGACCTCGAGCTTGTCCTGGAAACCTCCAAGGCACTTACATAGCATATTTCTGTGTCCACTCTTGTGCTAGTCTGTTGTACCTGGAAGAAAAAAACAGAGGGAGTGACACCTTCACTTGAAATGGACACGTCACTGCACCAAGCAGCAAACACTGAGTGATGTGCGCAAATGGTCGGCGCATCACTCAGGAAGTCTCCCCTGGGGCAGGAGCGCTTTGGTCAGGCTGCAGGGCCCTGCTCAGTGGATCCTGTGGATCCTCTGTGACTATGTGCTGAAGAAGCCATAACAACCCAACAAACCATACTTTCCTGGCCTTCAACACAGGTGCGGGACAGGAAGGAAGAGCGCCTTGAGGGTCAGCCCGGAATGTGCCAGGTGGTCCAACACACCCACTCCAGTGCCACCTTTGCAGCTGGGTCACTCTGTGGCCTGGCCTCCTATTACCACTGACAAACTGGGGAGGACACACATTCTGCATGCCTGGTGCCCACCGAGGGCAGTGGTGGCATGCATATCGCCCTCACTACTGAAAAGACAGTTGGGGTCATGGGACTGTAAATGAGGAGTCTACAGAGTAGATAGTGAAACAATTAACTCATAACAAATGTTATAATAAATACAAATTAAAATCGAATCAATCTAATTCATTTTAACTGATACCAGGAAACTTCAATGACAGAAATAAACTCTATAAAAGTCCAAGAAAAAGCTAAATTGGAAAAAACCACATTTCTGTTCTAATCTCCTCACACAGAAGCGATGAGACTCACTCCAGTCACTCCACACTGCCCCTTGGACTGAGGACTTAGCTGCTGCTTCTGCTGTCCGGTTCTGCCACACCCGGCCCCTTCTCTCTGGGCCATCAACAGTCAGAGACTGACACACGCTGATGCCCACTGCATCTGCTCACTCGACACCCCGGGCCGCTGCACACACAGACAAAGGCAGGCAGGGCTCCATGCTTCCAGGTCTGGAGACTGATGCTCAAACAAGAGTGGGCAGTGCAAGCCTGCTGGTGAGACAGCAAACTGACTATCACGATGCCCTCCTCGCTGGTTCCAGCCTCCTCCCTCGTCCTGCAGACGACCCTGGCCTTATACCATAATCCTGAGAGTTTAATCCAGAATTTCTTGTCAGATTCGTCTTTGCTGTTCTGAAGGCAGGGCTTGCAGGGTTCAGAAGTGGTAGCTGATGAGCCACCCAGGAGGGTGAACTGCTTTTATCCGTTGTGCCTCCTCTGAGTCAAGGGACATGTTGGCGAGAGCCAGGAGCCCCAGCCTGGACCCAATGGCTGAAGTGCGGTGTGGGCAGGAAGACATGCGTGGGAACCTAAGCTGTCATGGCACAAAGCAACCCAAAGAGCAGGCATACTTCTCTCTGTCGGCCTTGTAGGTGTGGGCTATTTCTGGCACCAGAGGGTCATCAGGGTTGGGGTCGCAGAGCAGAGAACAGATGGACAAGAGAACTGAGAAGAAAAGAAAGAGTTAAGTCAGTGGTGGCCATGAGGCTGCAGGCCACCCTTGGGTCTGGCGAACCTTTGCACATGTGTGATTTATGTAGACCAATCCGATGATCCTGCTCAGGTCATGTGTTCACCTTGCCCGCATGCTACTGGAGGGCTGCACTGTAGACCTCACGACGGGATCTCAGCACCCTGCTCCAGTGTGGTCCCAGTCCTAATCCTCCCTTCTCACTGATGCCCCTGAAGTTCCAGTCTCTGCTGAGCCTGAGGCCTAGTCTGGCTTGACACAAGATACTTGCTTGCAGGGGCCCTGTTTGCTGATAAGAGACAGGCATTCAGACCATCTGAGTAACTTTCCAAGGTCACAAACATGAAGCACCCAGAATGGGGGTAAATGAGTTTCTGAACTGAGGCTGTAACTGCAAGGCCAACACTCCCTCCTGCTTTTGTACAGCCTCTGGGATATGCACTCAGCGTGCGGCTCTCGGGGGCCCTGTGTGAGGGAGTCACCCTTAGGGCTTCATGAGGAGCAGAAAGAGCTGGTAGCACTGCTGTTTCCACTTTGCCTGGACCTGCCATGACTGCAAACTAGCTTCGGTGAGTCCACGAAGTCCTGAGCACAGTTTCCCTACTGTTAAAGCTGCAGACAGAAGGAACAGGTCCTATTTGCTTAAGAGACTTGATGCCCTGCTGTTCTGGGCTAAGCCTGTCACTGGAAGGCTCGGGGCTCCCCACAGCATCCCCAGGCCTAGTTGCCTTTCCTGCCACCCCTATCCAGGGCCCTCCCTTCCACTCTGCTTTCCTCTCCCATTCCTGGCCCTGCACCTAAGGCTGCACCGGCCCTAGGTCTACTGATTTGGTCTACTACATGGACCTTGGTGTCTGGCAGAGGGGGACACTGTCCCTGCTACACTTCTGGGCCTCAGATCCAGTCAGGTCTGATCGCTCCAGTCAGAGGAGCGATCTCGGCAGGACACTGGGCTATACTCAGATGCATCAGTGCAGTGTAGCCTGCTCTGCCCCAAGGAACTTGCTAACAGCACAAGGGAGGTGGTTGTATCCCCCACCCCCGAGTTCTCCAAACCTTTAGCCTTCCAAAGCCCCTGCCAGCTGCCCAGGGCTCTACCACCTACACTGCCTCACACTCCACTACTTTCTGGGTTGAATTTTCTCACCATTCCACCGCCTTCACCTGATAGGCTGAGATGCTCTCTCTACCCAGGACTTGAGCACATACTGCTCACACTAAGCCCATCTTAATTCAGTAGGAATATCTGCTTCTTTTCTTTTTTCCTTTTTGTTACTATCTGCATTTCTGCATGCTGCTTCACACTGGTTTCTTCAATCTCACCCAGAGACACAGCTCCCACACCAGCTGCAAGGTGCGCAGGGGCAGGCCCCATCTGTCTCCTTTCAGGGCTGACTCACAGGCTGTGTTCGTTTATGCCAGACAAATGGGTAAAGGAAAGAACGGAGAAGGTACTATAATAATCCTGCCATCCTTGGCAGGAAAGCCCTACTGCTTTACAAAAAAAGAAAGAAACATCTTGAAGTTCATGACACCGTTTAGTTCGCTGTTGGTGTTACATACCCCACTTTCACTGAGGTCATGGACTGCAGAGCAGTGGCTGCCACCTGCAAACCACAGCCACTTCTCTGCTGGTCACCCACCCATCTGACAGGTCTAACATCTACCGCGCATGGCTAGGCCTGCGGCTGTGTCCCACTGAATCTGCCTGGGTTGTAGCCCTGACTTCCACTCCTGGATCTGTATGCTCTTCCCTCTCAGGGCCTCAGTGGGCACAGGTGCAGGGTGGGGGAAGTACCCTATAGGATTGCCAAGGGCTCTGCTGGTGTAGTTCTGCTGACACCTGAAGGAGGCAGTGTTCTGTCCCCAGGGATGATGCATCCCATAAAGAACACCAGCAAGTGCGGATTCCCATCCCTTCTGAAAGCACTGGCTTATGGCCTTTTTTCACAAAGGTGTGAGGTGGAGGAGCCAGGAACATAGTCCCCCACGCGAAATGGGCCCCCTGTGTACTCTGTCTTTCCTGCTGCCCAAACCCTGAGTTCTTTTGGATGTACATTTTATGCCAAATGAAAATAAATTTTTTGCCTTTGATAAACAATCTTTTTGCCTCATTTATTTTACCCAGGGCCTTTGCACTGAGCCATACATCTCTAGCCCTGTTTTTTTCCTTCTGGGTCAGGAATCAAACTTATTTTACCCAGGGCCTTGTACTTGCAGGCAGTGCTTATACCACTGAGCTTATCCCTGGCCCCTCCAGTCCTGCTTTTAATTATTTTTTATTCTGTGTCTCAGTAAAATAAATTGCCCATCTGGGATCAAATTCTGTATCCTGCTGCCTCAGCCTTCCAGAGTACTAGGATTGCGGGCGTGTGCTGCCACACCCGGCTTCCTTTCTGATACTAAGATAAAGAGTGTAAGTAGTGCCCTTTCTGCACCAATGTGGCAGAGTCCTGAGCATCCACAGTGACTGGATGCTGAGGACCATGAGGGTGCAAGCACAGGGTTCCACTTTGGTTACTTCTGTGCAGTAGGGGACAGCAAGCTGGCACAGGCTGAGTGGGCTGTGGGACCGGAGGAAGCTTTCTGGTCTCTGAGTCTCCTGAGTCACCCAGCCAAACAGGGAGACAAAAATGGGAGATGGCACGTGCAGCATGAGCCAGGGTCTCTACCTTTGGACACAGTCAGCGCTGGAGACCACTGTGACCGCAGGATGTCCAAGCAGATGCTGCCATTGCTGTTGATATTGGGGTGATAGATTTTGGTTGTGAAAGCAACCTGCAGAGACAAGAGATCTGAGTCAGACAGGTCACAGGAATATCTAAAAAGCCAACCAGGGGACAATGAAGCAGCCACTGCTGGGCTGCACCACATGACCCAAGCCCCCACCCCCAAAGCCTTGGTGAATGTCAACCATCTCTCGACCCATGACAGGGCACCGGAAGGGCAACCCCAGAAGCCTGCTCCCCATCCCCATCACAGCCTCGCTCTGAGCACTGGAGAGACTGACATCATCTCCCTCAGAGCACGCTGCACAGCAAGAGGGTCAGGACAGAACTCAGCAGCCTGGCAGGTTTGTGCAGAAAGTAATGCTTCAGATGATGGACATGCTGAGGAAATGCAGGCACCACAGGAAGCGGCCAGATGAAATGCACTCCTTGTCCTTTGTTAACTACTCATTTCTGCCCAGGTGACTCCACCAAAACTTGCTGTTTCAGCCATCCTCGGTCTTGGCTGCACTCAAAGGTACAGACATTCAGCTCCCGTAAGCTGCCTCACCCGCAGAGGAGCCCACCCTGCGGCCCTGCTCTCCGCTCAATAGGTGTGGAGCCTTGCACACGACAGACAGGGATGCCTGCACCCTTGGTACTCTCACCACCCCTGAGTCACTCCTTCTCAGAACTCAGCCCTCGATGGTCCCAATGGTTCCAAACACGCAGGGATACCCTCTGTAGCAAAAGCTGGAAACGCCTCACTGTTGCCCAAGAGATTACGGGTGAAATTAGTGTTTCACACACACACAGCCATTTAAAAAGAGCATGGTGAATCATCATGTGCAATTAGGGAGCAATTTCCAAGATGTGCTGCTGACAGGAACCCACGGATGGCTTTGTGGCAAAGTGTGTTTCTTTCAATGGAGAAACAAGGGCCCACACGCAGGTGTATGGACAGGTGCAGATGATGCCTGAAATAGAAATACTCAGCAGCAGACTCGCTGCCTCAGGGATACAGGTCCTATGTTCAATGTACTCTCCCACACTGAACCAATCCAGTGTGCCTCTTTATAACCAGTTACAAATCACTTCTCAAGATGACCTCCCTGGAGCTCAGTTCTGCTCTGAATAGGCAGGTAGCAGACCAGATGCGGTGGTGCGCACCTGAAGTCCTTGATATTTGGGAGGCTGAGGCGGGAGAAATACTGATTCTAGGAGTACAACATCAACCCGGGCAACTATGAGACTGAAAAAATGAGCTAGTTGCAATGGAATGCCTGGAATGCCAGCTACTCAGGAGGCTGAGACAAGAGGATCACAAGTCTGAGCCTAGTTAGGGCAACTTGGCAATTATCAAGACCCTGCCTCAAAATAAAAAACAAAAGAAAGGGTGGTGGCATGGCCAGACAGAAGGCTGTACCACAAAACAAAACAAATAACCCTCCCTCCAATAAGCAAAAGAAAAATCCCAGATGGACAAAAAAGAAAAAAAAAAAAAGACAGAATCAGGGACATGATGGGACTCCTAGGGCTGGTGTGATGACATGAAGCTTTCTTGTCCCAAGGGATGAGAGCAGGCTTAGCTGCACCCACACCGTAGTGGCCAGCAGCGCACTGGCAGAGGCAGCCTCGCTGTCCCCCACCCCCTACCTCAGGTGGAGGGCACATGGGCCTTTTATGTTGTCATTTTTCGCATGCCTAATTCATATTATTATATTTTTTTGAATGCAGGGCATTGAGCTCAGAGATTCACACATGCTAAGTAAGTTTCTGTTAGGAGCTATATGTCTGTTCCCTAAGGTAGTTTTTAAAACATAACTCATATAGGCACCACTGTTGTCTCCAACTGCTGTGTTGTGTTTTGAAATTTGGTTTTTTCTTTTTTTTTCTCTTTGAAATAAAATGGATTTTAAAAAAATAGAATTCATTTTAGAATACGTAGTTAAGAGGACAGTGCGTATTGAGTGTGAATGTCTTTCGCCATATGATTTTTCCCAGGAAGAGTCAAACCTCCAAAGGGTCTCAGACATCTTCCTAGATGTCTCCTATGAAGACCATGCAGTCCTTCTCGCAGTCTCACGATGTAGTTTAGACTGGCCTCGAAGTTACTATGTAGCCTATGCTGGCCTCAAACTTGTAGAAATCATTCTGCCTCAGTCTTCTAATGCAGGATGATCGCCACAAGTTTGACACCAGTCTGGACAACTTAGTGAGAATGTGTCTCAAAACAAAATATAAAAAGGGGTGGGGATATAGTTCAGTAGTCCCTGGATTCAATATGCTGCCCTGCAAACAAACAAACACCCCCAGATGTATCATGCAGTCTTGCCAGATTCCTCCCTGAATCTTATTCCTCTGTAAAAGGAGATTTTAAAAGGATACACTTTCTTCTCTTGTGAGTACCACTCGCTTTTTAGCTCACATTTTTCTGGTTAAAATAATCCCAACTTGGGCTGGGGATTTAGCTCAGTGGCATAATCGCCTGCCTTGCAAGTGCATGGTTCTGAGTTCGATCCCCGGTATGGATAAAATAAATAAATAATCCCAACTCATAGAGCTTACGTCTCTTAATAATAGCCACCATTTTCACTTTGTCTTTGGACAACTAGGGAACCTAAAACTGCCCAACAGACAGTCGTGCAAGATGACATCAGTAGCTGCTTGCTTTAAGGAAGGGCCTCAGCCACTCAGAGGCTCATGGAGGTGACACGTGGGGAAATGCTGCCTTAGAGACACTGTACTGTCTCTTCCTGTGGAGAGCAGAGTGCAGCGTGGATCAGAGAAGCCTTTTCAACCAAGGCCCCTACAGACGCAGCTAAATCCCAATCAGGTGCAGTGACTTTAGCATCTGTCACTGCTCTGTCCAGCACACCTTGCCAAAAGCTGGAAAAAGTCTCCAGAATTACGGACATTAACTTCTACTTAAAGCACTGGGGGCCCGGTAGCCCCTGTGGCAACATCTGCACAGTGCTGTGACCAGTGATTCTGGAAGGGGCCACGTCACATTGGCTGAGTTAAAGTGTGAAACAGCAGCTAAGGTCACCACCCACTGCACACCGAGGCCAGCACAGGTGGCAAGGCACAGCAACGTCACACCCTGACTACAGCACTCTGAGTGGACACAGGACTAATGCAGGAGTCTGTTCAAAACACACAGCCTATCTGAGGAAACATGACACAGGCCCATAAAGAGTGATGGCTGACAGTGTAATCGGTGACACTCCTCAAAAGCATCAATGTCACGAAAGACCATGGGGAAGGGCTGCAGTTATGGAGAGGACAGGACAGTAACTGAGTGCGGGGTCGTGGAACACAGAAAGGACACGGTAGGAGCCACGAATGTCTGTCAAGGTTTCAGTTTAGTTGCAGAATCATGACCAGCATTTGTTTCCTTAGTTTTCATCATGGCAGTATAGAAATGTAAGACACTGGGAAAAACCAGGTGAGAAATGTTTGGCAACTCTTTGCACTGCTTTTGCAGGAGTTCATTGAACTAAGGGTCTCACACATACTATGCAGATGTCTGTCACTGAGCTACACCCCTGAACCTTACAAATATTTTCCAAGCCTAAAATTAACTCAAAATAAGTTTATATTTTGCTTTTAAAGACTGACACATCTGGGTCTGAGTCCCACTGTCTATGAACCATGCTACCTTACAAAAACAACATATCCTGAGATTTTAGAAGAAAAAAAAAAAAACATATCCTCTCTAAGCTTCCGTTTCCTTATTCACAAAACAGAATTATTTTTGTTGTTTTTTGTTTATTTTTTTAAGACAAGATCTTTCTATACTTCCCAGGAGGGATTTGAACTTACAATCTGTTTCCTCAGCCTCCTGAGTGCTGGGACTATAGGCATGTGCCACAACTCCTGGGTCCAAACTGATATTTTATTTTAAAAATGGGAATAAAAATATATATTGGCGTATGCAAAAAAAATCTGGAGGTATGTACACTGGGCTGCTAGCTATGGTTTCTCTGGGTCTACAGATTGGCTTCCATCTGCACACTAGTTCTCTAATTTAAAAATAATGAACTTTTAACTAGTTTTGCAATCAGGAGGAAAAGAAAGCTGTTCAAATGGTATGAATTGTGCATGTATGACCATTGCTGATAGGCAGCTGGTCCTGCTGGCTCAGTGTCCATGCCTCAGCTTGCCTCCTCTTCCTCCCATGGCCCAGATGCTTCTCCTGGTGGGATGAGGGGTCCCGTCAGCCTCCCAGATGGAGCCCATATGGACCCTCCTCCTCTTACCTACCCTTTGGTTCCCCTGCCCCTGGGATGCTGGAACATATAGGCTCCCGCAGACCCTGCGCAGCACCCCCGCACCAGCATGATCTCCCAGGCCACCTGGCTCCTGTCTGAACCTGTGCTGCCTCTCAGCCCTGACTCCCTTGCATGCTAAGCACCCTGGTCCTCCATAGGAAGGTGTACCACAAGTGGGCAGGTGTGGGCAGCCCTGGAGGCATTGCGACTGGGGACGCACCAAGGTGTAGATGAAACAGTTCAGCCCCACTTTGGCATGCAAGGCAGAGTGTGCAGGCAGCCCCAGGTCTCTCTCTACGATTAGTGGCCCTGTCCTCAGCTTCACTGAGGGCAAGGGAAACCAATCCTCCCCACTTTTACTTTGCGGTGCTGAGGACTGAACCAGAGACTTCCACGTGAGAGCCAAGTGCCCACTACTAAGCCACGCTTCCAGCGCAAACTATACCTGTGACCCTTTTCACTTAATAAAAGAGAACTAATTGTTAGGGTCCTGAGCTGAGGGGCCCTATCCCAGCATCTTCTGTCCTGGGCACTGCCGAGCAGCAAGCGTGACTGTCCCTCATGAGTGCCTTCGGTACCTCCACTCTCTAGTTTTGACAACCAGAGGTATCCCAGGATACTGTCAAGTGTCCCCAGGGCAGAAGCAAAACTGCCTCACCCCAGAACCTCATCCTAGACAGTAAGTAAGAGATGGTGAAGAAGAAAACCAGAAACTGCAGACCTCAATGGTTCACGCAGCTACAAAGAGCACTACAGGGATCCAGATGGACCTGCCTGTGGCCACCCTAGCTCAAAACCACTGTGACTGCCCTTGAGCAATCCAGACCCTGGGGGTCTGCTTTCCCCAGCTTCCTAGCATACTGGAACAAACACTGAACAAAGCAGAAGGACCACTGTGTCAGTCAGCAACGAAGTACCTGACTCAAGTAGCACAAGGAAAAATTGATTAATCAATTGATTTGTAGTACTGGGGATTGAAACGAGGCTCTTTCCACTGAACTATATCCTTTCTTTCCCCACTTTTTTTTTTTTGTTGTTGTTGTTGTTTTTGAGACAAGAGTTTTGCTATGTGGTTCAGCGTGGTCCTGAACTCACTATGTGACCTATGCTGGCCTTGAACTACTGGTGATCCTCTTGCCTGAGCCTCCTGAGTGCTGGGGTTACAACCTCAGCCCTTTTTATTTTTACTTATTTACTCATTTATTTTTTGGTACCGGGGATTGAACTCATGACTTTGTGTTTGCCAAGCAGGCATTTACGCTGCTCAGCTAAACTGCTGGTCCAGCCCTTTTTATCTTCAAACAGGGTCTCAGTTAAGCTGCTGAGTTGTCCAGGCTGGTTTGAATTTGTGATTCTGCTGCCTCGGCCTCCTAGCATGCTAGGATGACAGGCATATACCACCACACCCTGCAGGGAAAGATTTATTTGGCTCCCAGTTTGAAAGGTTTCAATCTACCGTCAGCTGGCTGCATTACTTTTTAGGCCTGTGATAAATCAGAAATATGATGGTGAAAGGGTGTGGCAGAGAGCCAGAAAGCCAAAGAAGAGGAGCCATGAACAAGTCACACCCCTCAAAGCCACCTCCTCCAATAAGGCCCCACCTCCTAAAATTTCCACCACCTCCCAATAGTGCTACCAGCTGAGGACCAAGCTTTCAGCCTACTTGGAACAACAATTATAGTATGGGGGGGAGGGCTTTACAGCTGGCCCTGGACACCATCAGCACCAGGAACGTGCCTGGGATCTTTACTATAACTTGAGACAAGCCAGGCACACTTGGGCTTGGATAAAAGCCACTGATTACTTCTAACCTCCCTCCTTATGACTCCACTTCTGGAAATCCACTGGTCTTCCCGCTACCCTTGACCCATCTTCTGTCCAAGCCCCAAGCAACATTACTCTTTGTAATCCTGAATATGTTTGTCTGTTTCTTCAGCCTCTTCATGCCTTCATTTATGGTTTCAGTTCTTTTACAACAGATTTTCTTGGAACAGAAGTATCCTTCAAATGGTGACTCCTTCCTTTAGGAAGCAGCCTATTCCCTTGCTAACAACAGGGATCAATTCTAAAAATTTATATTTTTAAAGTCCTGGGAGACCAGCCATGACAGGAACAACCTGTAATCCTAGCTATTTGGAAGGCTGAGGCAGGAGGATTTCAAGTTTAAAATCAGTTTGGGAGTCCCTGTCTCAAAATAAAAAGTAGAAAGGGCCAGAGATGTAGCCCAGGAGAAGAGTAGTTGTCTAGTATATGTGAACTCTAAGTTCAATCCCAATATTACTCAAAATAAAACAAAAACTCTCCAAAACCCAAACAACAGTGAAAAAACAAAAACACAAAAGTCCCAGGAAAGTGTTACCACAGAGTCTGGAAGACAGGTCCTTGGGGAAAGGCCCACATATAGTTCTCCTTACCTGTGACCAGACAAGTCCCCTTGTCTGAGTTTCAGGGGAGCTGGGAAAGCCTTACCTTTGGGGGCTTAAATGGGTAATCCGTGGGAAAGTGGATGGTCAGGAAGAAAACACCTCCTTGGTAAGGGCTGTCATTCTGGAAGGTGAGACACGGGAAGAGATTAGGGCTTACACTAAGCATGAGGTACAAGTAGTCAGACGAGCTGTGTGCTCAGCAGCACTACCTACCGGGCCCATGATGGTGGCCTGCCAGTGGAACACTGCAAGACAAAAGAGACACGGGTGCGTGAGAGACCCTCACGAAACGTGCCTAGGTGCTACACAGTTTAGAGCACAGCACCCACAGACTGCCTCACTTCCAACCTCAGCTGTACGTCTAGGGGTTCTAAGACCAGACTTGCCAGGTCTCCAGAGCTCTCTCTGCTCACGGTTACAGTCCGTGACAGGGTACGGAAGCACCTGTGAAGGGCTCCATTTCCCATCCAACAGTGTGGTACACGACTGAAGAAAGACAGAAATCTGCAGTTTTAAGGGTTTCTTAGTGGAACAAAGGGCCATGAGTCAGAGTGGCCATGGCTTTTATTGCTTGTATCATCAGCAAGAAAGATTGTGTTTGAGGGCCCAGAAATAATGGCTTCTATAGGCATGGCTTATAAAGGCGGGACAAAGCACGCTTCTGTCAGACATACAGGCTCCCCAGTTGACAGTGGCTTAATGAATACCTTGATGTTTGAAAAGCTGGCACCTTTACTGCTGGGAAGGTCTATTTTATTTTGAGTCACATGGCTTCAGCAGAAATGTTATCTCATGCTTTAGCCCTGGAATTTCACAGGGTCTTGCTCAAGCCTCCATTTCAGCCATGGGGGGATGGGGAGTGGGGAGCAATTCTGGTCTGCACAGCCACTTCACTGCAATGAGACATGTTGGTGGCTTGGCTGAACTTGGTCACATTCTTTTTAGCCAACTAAGGGAAAATTTACTTCCATATAGCCAGCTCTGCACACACAGGTAAGCAGGGCAAAGATGAGGGCTAGACTGAATGGGGGCAAGGGGTTCATTCCTCAGGGGAAGGTGGCTTGGCGGTCCCCCATAAGAGGGAAACTGCACAAATAGCCGTAAGGAGGGGGCTGGATGCACAGCCTGCATTCCTCTCTCCCTCGAGGTTAGCGCCTGCTTTCTCTCTCAGCACCCAGGTGAGACAACACACAGACACTGCCCAGCAGGCATGCTCACCTGAACTTCAACACCTGGTGGCTTTAATGGGGCTCCATCAGAAGTGTTGAGCCATGTATGCTGGTGAACATCTGTAATCCCAGCACTTAAGAGGCTGAGGCAGAAGGTTACAAGTTTGAGGCCAGTCCAGGCTACATAGCTCAAGGTCAGTCCCAACTATATAGCAGGACCCTATCTCAAAAAACAAACAAACACATACCCTCTCCAAATCAGGAGGGTTTTGATAGATAATATTTTGGAATAGGAGTCCATGACAAGAGGGTAGAAGGTGGACCCTTCTTGGTGAGCAGGTTGGGATTCTCTGGCCTCATTCACATTAACACTGACTGCTGAGTGCCAAGCAGGGCTGGAGGGTAGTCAGGAAGGAACAGTGACTGATTCCATGGCCTTCTGGCATTAATGGGAGACAATCAAGGAGTGGGTGCGTGGAGGCCGTGGAGTTGGTCTGTTTGCACTCTGTATACACAACTGAGTCATTCTGCTCTGCTCCAAAAAGGATTCCAACTTCCACAAAAAGCCTTCAGAACCTCTACTTTCAGTCTCCATCTGCCCACCTTGGCACCTCCCAGGACATGCGGCCCTACCCCATTTCCCTTCACTAGCATGGTATGCATTTATACTTTGAAGTGTGCCATATAGTCGCATTGTGGACATATACAGTGTTGTGTAACCACTGTTTCTGTTGTCTTTGTGTGTGTGTGTGTGTGTGTGTGTGTGTGTGTGCCCGCCCGTATGCTGGGGATGGAACTCAGGCAATTTCTAAAGCACTGCCGTCTTTCTAAAGCACTGCTTCTGTACCTATGAAACAATTACTTCCACACATCTACTTCCCAAGCCTCTCTGGTAACCCCTCATCTACCTTCTGTATCTACAAATTCTCCTCATCTAGATATTTGTTGAGCAGAAATATATAATATTTGTAATTTTCTTGCTTATTTCACTAAATTTAGCATGATTTCAAGGTTCACCTGGGCCATGGTGCCCACACTTTCATCCACGCATCTGCTGCTGTTAGCACCTTCTGTTAGTGGTGCCGCGAACATGAACATTGGCATCTGGTTTTGTTCGAGCATTTTCGGCTCTGGCCTGTGTAGGGCACCCCACTCACACATAGCTATCCAACAGCTGCAGCCTCACAGTAGAAAAGCTGGGTACACAGAGTGAGGGGAGTCAGCTAAGCCAGGTAAGGCTTGGAAGCCCAGGGCTGTGCAGCTCAGCCTCCGGCCTGCTGGCTATGAGGGAGGTGGAGGGCTGGCCGGGCCACTGCTCCGCTCTGACCCTGTCCTGAGCTGCCTCCTCACCTTCCCCAGGGGAAGCACAGATGTAGGAACAAAGAACAAGTCCTGCCTTTCCCTGGGCGAGGACATCAGCGGCTATAGTGCTCCACAACTAGAGCATGATGGCGCTCATGGCAGCGCCCCAAGTCTGACTGTGGAGTAGCACTTTCCTGAAGCTCGCATAAGCTAGGTCCGGCTGGGTGATTTCTGGTGGCACAGGTTCCACACAGTGTAACCTGAGCAGCTGAGGGGAACTCCCACATCCAGTGCATGAGCAAGTGAATGGAAAACACTGACTGGTTTTCTTAGAAACTGCTTGGTGAATAAATCTGGGGGCTCTAACTGCAAGGATCCTACAATCAGAAGCCTCTGGAATACTTACAGTCATCACCCACAGGTCCTGCGGAGCACTGGGCAGGAGGATCCCGCTGCAAGTCCGTCAATTCCTATAACAGAAGATGATGGGTTAGGGGCTGGGGATTTAGCTCAGCGGCATAAGCGCCTGCCTTGCAAGCAGGCAGTCATGAGTTCGATCCCTGGTACTGATAAAAACAAAAAAGACAAAAAAAAAAAAAAAAAAAAAAAGAAGATGGTGGGTCAGGTGAGGGTGTGCTGAGGTGCCAGTCTGTACCACAGGCCCTTATCACAGTGAGCTCTTGTGGGAAGCCTCAGGAAGTAGCAAAAACACAGTCAGAGCCTGGTCTACCCATGGCTGTGAAGATGCCAGCAAAGTAGGTATTATCCTTTCCACCTCATAAAGTAGGACACTGAAATGTAAAGAGGCGAGGTCACCTACCCTCTGTTATGGAGCAAGACCATGAGTAGCTGTCCCTCTTCCCCAAGCCAGGTCATCAATGGACTCAGCAGGAAGACATTATTCTCCCATGAACTTAGGAGAACGAGTCCCAAGAGCACTTCTATGAGTAGGGCAGGGGCCAGTGCTGGTTCTGAGCTAAGGAATGAATGCCTGCAAGCACTTGACCCAGAGGAAGTACTCAGTTAAAGGCTGGGCTTGGGCTGGGGATTTAGTTCGGTGGCATAAGCGCCTGCCTGCCAAGTGTGACTTGTGAGTTTGATCCCTAGTACTGAAAAAAAAAAAGTGGTTGGACTCTGTGGCTTCTCTGTCTTTTCCGCTGCCCCTTTACCTGCCACGGGATGTTCAGCACATCCTAGGCTTCTGACTGGAGACTAAAGGCATGCACCCCCAAATCTCACACCACCATCAATGTCCTGGTGGGAACCAGGAATTACACAACTAAAGTCCCCTAATGGAACATTAATTCTGTCGACAATCCCTAAAGGTAACCCTGACCTGGCCTGAGACTCAGGCCCAGGGCCCAAAAGTTGGGGCAGTGATTCTCAATAATCACTTTGCATGTATGAGAATGTTTTCTAACACTGCATATTTTCCCCTGGTTCCAGATCCCAGCAAACCCCCTGAGGTTTCCACAGAGGTTTTAAAACCAAGGAAGGAGGTACAAATAATGGTGCATCGGTTAGAGAATGCTCCAAAAATGGCAAAGTCAGGATCTGGTGGTGCACAAAGCTCCGAGCTGCCTGATGACCCCTTCTTACTTGAGCCAAGCCTAACGCTCTCATCCACAAAGGCCCTTTGGTGCCCACCACACATGGGCATATATGTTGCATGCTAATCACTCATGCAACCCCCAGTCTCCTACTTCCCTTTAAATTTACTGTTTTGTTCTGAGATAAGAATCTTGCTATATAGTTCAGGCTGCCTTTAAACAAGCAGCAATTCTCCTGCCTCAGCCTCCCAAATACTAGAATTACAGGCATGCGTCACCATACCCAGCTCACTTCCCTCTAATCAGCATGATGACTGTATTAATACCATAGAGGCTGGAAAACACCATAAATCAAGCCGTTTTATCCAAGAGGTGGTCTCACCTCTTCTCTTGTATTGGTAACTGAACTCAGGGCCTAGTGCATGCTAGGCAAGTCTTCTAGTGCTGAGCTACATTCCCAGGCCTCATAAATTTTTTCCATTTTGACACAGTTTTGGTACATTGATCAGGCTGGCCTTGAATTTGTGATCCTTCTTCAGCTTCCTGAGCAGCTGTGATTACATGAACACACCACTAGACCCGGCTGCCTCAGAATTGATTTCTAAAATCTACCTACCAGTACACACAGGTCAGTTCTCAGCTACTGCCTAATGTGAGGTGACCGTTTCCTCACTTGGAAAGCACTCAGTAAGAAGCATAACCAGTTGTCACAGAAGAGAACTTGGGGAACAATGGAGGTTGTGCAAAGGGACCAAAGGACACACTCTGAAGTGCAAGAGCTCCAGAACCTTCCTGCTTACACTCTGTGCCGTGCCCCCCAGCACCTCCACCATCACTCTGCAGGGAAGTGTTTACACCCATGTGATTCTGCATGAGCAAGGGATCTCCTAAATGGGACTGGCAAGGCAAATCCTGCAAAGACTAAATGAACCATGAGGGGCAGGGAAGGCTAGCAGTAGAGACCAGTTCCTCTCCAGTGTGCAAGGTTTTGTCACACTTCTATGCTTTTGCACACAATATACCTAGAATCCATGCCCCTCTTTTTGGTGCCTCATAAACAGTTACTAGGACTAACTGATTCCTGAAAGGCCAGAGTAAGTCCCTACTATTAGGCTCCAACGGGCACCCAGGAGTTTAGAATATGTCTTGGTTGCTTTCTCATTGCTGGGATACAATACCTGACACCACAGTTTATAGGATGAGAGGCTTATTTTGGCTCATGCTTTAGAAGTTTCAGTCTTTGTATGGTCAGCCGGCTCCAAGCAGGAGTGGCACAGCAGAAGGGTCTGGCAAAGGAAAGCATGGACAGCAAGGAAGCAGAGAACACAGAGAGGAGCTGGGAGGAAGCTCACCACTCCCGGACATGCCCTCCATGGCCCACCTCTTCCGGTCAGGCTCCACTTCCTAACAGTACATTTAGCTATAAACTCATCAGCAGCATCCACTAATGTGTGCAGCACCCCATGATCCATCAGTTCCCTAAAGCATCACCTATGAATACATGAGGCTTTGGCAGGACATCTATATATAAACCATAACAGAATGCCATCTGGCATTTTGAGAAACAATTGTATATCTTGGAAGAAACTAGTCAACTCACATACCATACTGCCATGCCTATCTAATAGTTTTGGAAGACTCAAGTCAGAGTCCCAGCTCTAGCACTGGGAAAACCACTTTCACCCCTTCAGTTCTCAGTGTAACTATCTGTAAAGCTGTAATTACAACTGCCTGCCAATTTGCTAGCACTGCTGAGTGGCATTCAAATGTGTGTAATACACAAAAGAACACCCAGCAAGGATCACAGACCACAGGGTCCAGAGGATACTACCGGGGCATTCCAAAAAGAGGAGGATAAAAACTAGTTAACATTGGGCCCTGCCAGGGAGGGGAACTGGACAGCTGGGGACAGCAGTGTGGGGGATTTTTCCCTGAATGCCCTGGTACTTTTGACTTGTGAACCATGGGGACTTATGACCTAAATATATATTTCAAGAATTATAAATGACGACACAGGTGAAGGCTGTGTTGTAACCACTGCTACAAATAACAACTGATGATAAAAGTACAATCCCAAACAAGGGGAAGAAGGTTAAAGATTAAGTACTGGAGAAAAGTTAAGCAAATGATGGTACAAACTCAAATTCTTTTACTGTGTTTTGTCAAATGCAAGACATCATCCGGCATTAAGACATAATTTTATGTACAATTAACAAAGAAAATATGTTGCCAATTAAGCTAACAACAATGCTTTCTTTAAACTTTAATTTTATTTTAAATTTGTCCTCATTGAAAGAACATTTTTAGGCTCATTTGGACATATTTGTTTTCTTTTTAAAATCAAGAATCACTCATATATGCCAAAAAAGAAAAAAAAATATAAAACAAGTGAACTAACTTGTTAAGGAATCCTTAAAACCTCCTCATGTTCAGAGCTGAAGACGGTCCACACAGAGCCACTACTGTGCCTTCCGGGAATGATGACACAGCCCTTCTGAGTTCTCCACTGCTGTTTCTGGAGTCTGACAGATGATATCTCATCCCACAAAGTCCCTGGATACACATTCTTGGTAAGGATCCCAGCAAGCAGAAGAGGCCCAGCCACACCAACTGCAGGGTGGGGGGTACCCTCTTTCTTCTCTCTGGGGTCTGTGACGCATTTAGCTGTGTGGCATAGGAAAAGGAATCTATTGTCTTTCCTCCAACAACAAATATTGGTTCCAGTCATAAAACTTATTCTCTTTGTTACTGTGCCATTTTATTCATTCCATTTCTTCTTTTTGCTCCCTTTCTTCTTCATCTGATGTGTGTGTGTGTAATGAAAACTGCTATCAGGGCGTTTGCACTGAGCTACATCCCCAGCCCTTTTTTAATTTTGATACAGGATCCACTAAGTCACCAAGTTATCCAGGCTGAGTCGGAATTCTATTCTCTTGCCTCAGCCTCCCAGGGTATTGAAATTACAGGCACATACACTGTATTTTCTACTGAAACAGGGTATTCTTATATTCCCTTTTGATTGCCCTGCCTCAGTCTCCTGAATAGCTAGGATTGCAGATGTGCACCACTGCCCCAGTTAAAAACATTTTAAAGCAATTAAATTCAATGCATATGTTAGTACCAACAATGCACTCACCTCCATTGAATTATCATGACCCAATGTACACATATGGAGCAATTCATCCTATGATTTAGATTCAGATGTCCCCCACAAAGCCCATGTCCTCAAAGGCAGTCAGACAACCATGAACTAAAAATGTGAGTCAAAATAAGCTATTACTCCTTTAACTGTGGGTGTTGGGTATTGTGCCACAGCAATAAAAAAAGTGACTAAGACAGATCTTGGTCCTAGAAGGGGGTCTGTTGCTGTGCCTATCCAACCATTTTGGTTCATAGGTCTTTAGAACTGGTTTGTGGAAGGAGTCTGTAAAGATTGGAGACGCCTGCAGGAGAAAACCTACAATGCTGTAAACTGAAGTTGATGGGGGATTCTGGTTAGAACTCAGAAAAGCAGAATGCTGATATAAAAAGGCAGACAGTAAAGGCCAGGCTCAGGAGGTTCCAGGTGGGAAAAAGGACTCCACTAGCAGTTAATGGAGCTCCAGGCCATGTTTGTTATGCTCTGGCAGAAAAGTTATAGACATCTTACCATCTTACTCATGTCCTGATACTTTGTGAGAGACTCCAACTAAGGGTAGGAAATTTCAAGGGAGCCCAAAATTCAAGCTGTAGTGTTTGAACTTTTTCTTTTCTTTTTTTTTAGAAAGGGTCTTACTATGTAGTTCAGGCTGGTCCAGGCTGGTTTGGAGCAAACTTTGTAGCCCAGGCTGGTCTCAAATTTGCAACAATCTTCCTGCCTCAGCCTCCCACGTGCTGGGATTATAGGCAAGTGTTACCACATCTAGCTTCTGTTGTGAGCTGTTATCCAGCTCTACACTGCGTACCGAGAGCAACTGGCACACCTGAGTGATTTCAAAAATCTTCAATTGCACCAAAAAAGAAGCTCCTCTAAAACTGCACCCTATAAATCTGAAGCAAAGGAGAGTTTGTTTGCTAAAAAAGATTAGTATTGAGTTTTGTGTGACAGTACACACCTGTAACCTTCAGGAGACTGAAGGAGGATCACTGTGAGTTTGAGGACAGCCTGAATTTCATAATGAGACTTTGTTTCAAAAACACAAAACAAACCAAAAAAAAATCAGTGATAAAAACAGCTGGATGTGGCACGCCTGTAATCTCAGCACCTCAGAAGCTGAGGCAGAAGGACTGCCTGCCATTGAGTTCAAGGCCAGTCCGGGGTACTTAAGTGTACTTAAGTGAGTTCGAGGACTTGGACAGCAGCCTAGGTAACACAGCTTGAACCCGTCTCAAACACAAAATCCCTGAAACAAACAAAGCTCACTGCACAATGGTGTTCATCACATTATTGTTTAATGAACAAACTGGAATAAAAATGAGTTAATTCATATTTGAACACTTGTCGTATGTGTTAATTATGTGCTAAGCAGATATTTCATTTAATTCTTCAACATAACAGCGTAGCACAGGGAAGTTAGGAAATTCAATGCCTCGTGGAGGTCACACTGCAAGTGATCCTGTATTCTCTACGCCTATGACCTAGGGTTATCGGACACCCTAGCCCTTGTTTGTTACAGGTAACGAGTACATAAACTAACGGGCATGGACTTGTGAGATGTTAAAAAACACGATTATAAATACTATTTCACAACACGGAAAAGTGTTTAATGCTATGTGAGAACAAGACACAAAATACATCGCTAATACTTCATAGTACAGGAAAAAGCCTCACAGTAAGTTAAAAGATTAACAAATGACCAGGAGGCAGAACTGGAAATACTTTTCTCAATTGTGCAGTTTCCAAATTCTACTCTAACGAACTGAACTTCTACTAGGCCTCCCTGCTGCACACAGGACAAAAACCTGTTACCCCGAAGCCCCTTACTCCCTCCCCCAAGCCTCGTTCCCTTTACTCCCCCAGCGGAGCTCAGCCTTCTACCAGGGCCCGGCGGGCGCGCACGTGACCTTGTCGTGCGACTCCGCCCACATAAATAGGGCCCGCCCCGCGCACGAGCCGCTCCCTTAAAAGGTTGCGCCCGCGGCGGCTCCACCTGCCTCTCTGGCAGGTGTTGGTGCGTCCGGTGGCGCCGCAGCCGCAGGTCATTTCAACGTGACGGTGCTTGTCCGCGCTTTGACTCTTGAGACACCCAAGAAATCGTAGAGTGGAACAGCCCCTTACCTTCTGGATCCTCTTTAGCGCCATCCTCCCCGCTTGTCCGGACCTCGCGGCCCGGCGGGGCTGCCCGCGGCGGCCCGCTGCCGGCTCGGCCGCCGCGCTGCACGCCGGGAGTCACCGTCTGCGCGTGCGCGTCGCGGGGCACTGTGGGGCGGTCGCGCCGGCTCCGGCGGCCCGACCTGAGGTCAACCGAGGCCGGACACAGTGACGCCCGAGCACCTGCGGGCAGTCACCCGCTATGCACCCGCTATGCTCACAGTCCCGGTGCAGGCTCTTCCCCAAGCTGTCACGTAACTCCTGAGGGTAGTGGTTCCCAGCCCTGTGAGTATACGTACGCTTTTATATGTGCATTGCTGTCGGAGGGTCGCAGCTCTTCCGAGCAGATGTACGTAGTGAGCGCACAGCTACGTGCAGGGGCCGGGAGAGCTGAGTCTTTGGAACTACGGCCTGAAACCGCTTACCTCTAGTTAATTCTCCACCTCTTTTTCCCACGACCTGGGCGGTGTCTAGATCAGTTTTCAAACCGTGGTTGTGAACCAATTAGTGTGTCACAACATCAGTTTAACGGATTGTAACTAACGTATTATAAAATGAAATAGAATACAAGGTACAGCAGCAGTGTGTCTCACGTAGTAATGGCAGGAATTGTGAAATTTCTGTTGATGCAAGACATTTAGCATAAAAGGAAATGAGTGCTGTAGTTACTCTAGGGTCAAAGGTGTGATCTGAGATTGTCGCTGGCCCGTCAGCACATAGATCACCTCTGCATGTGTCAGGACATAAAATCCCTGGCGTCCATTCTTTTATGCCCCCAGTCTATCTTAAATACAACTTTATGAACTATGTAGATACTACCAAGTAGCGGCCATTCCCCAAACTATTCAAGGAAGCCCTGTAGCCTTTGAGGATACATTCAGGGTCATCCAGGATCCTTCACAATCTAGTACCGCTTCTGTGACCTCCAGCCTGCCTACCTGATTGTAAAGAATTTCTAGCAGTTCTTCCTTTTACATTCCTTTAGTATTGGCTGCCTGCTCTAGGTGCCCTCCCCCTCAAAGAATCTTCTAAAGCCAGCTCACTTACTGGATAGTAAAGCACCTTCCCTTGATTGTTACATCTACAGCACAAATATCCTACCAGGCGAAGTGGCACATGCTTGTAATCCTAACTACTTGAGGGACTGAGGCAAGAGGATCCCCAGCCTGGGTAACAGTGAGACCCTGGCTCAAAAAAAAAAAAAAAAAAAAAAAAATTAGTAACAGAAATTCCTATCTAGTCAATGAACCATCCCTCCCCACGTTGTTTGATGGCTCTCTTCTCATGGAACAAGTGATGAAAAAGTTTTTAAAAGTATAGGGGTCCAGGGTTTAGCTCAGTGCCACAGCGCCCGCCTGACAAGCACAAGGTCTTGAGTTCAATCCCAGGTACCAAAAGAAAAAAATGTTTATGTATGTATATAATATGAACCTCAGCTAGTTGCGGTGGTGCATGCCTGTAATCCTAGCTATTTGGGTAGTTGTGGTGGGAAGATAGCTCCAGACTAGCCTTTGGCAACATAGCAAGACTGTGGAACGTGGAAAAGTTGGAACCTTTTCACATTCTGGTGAGAAGGTAAAATGAAATCATTTTTGGAAAATAGTTTAATAGTTCCTCAAAAAGCTAAAGCACAAAGTTGTATGACTCACTAACCGAATTCTTAGGTATAAAGAGATTAAAATACATCCATACAGAAACTTGGCTACAAATATTTATAGCAGCATTATTTGTAGTAGTTAGAAGGTGATAACAACCCAGGCATTCTATATATAAGCAAAAAGTGATATACCACACAGTGGAATATTTTTCAGAATAAAGTACTGATATGTGCTATAACGTGGATGTATTAGGTTTCTGGGATTACTATAACAAAGTACCACAAACCGGGTGACTTAAACAATAGAAATTTACTGTTTCACATCTCTGGAGACTAGACATCTAAAGTAAAGATGTTAGTTCCTTTTGAAGGCTGTTAAGAACCTTTTCCATGGGCTGGGGATTTAGCTCAGCAGGCATAAGCACCTGCTTTGTAAGCAGGCAATTGTCAGTTCGATCCCTGGTACTGATTTTTTTTTTAAAAAAAGAATCTTTTCCATGCCCCTCTCCTATCTCCTTGTAACTTTAGGCATTTTTTTGTCTTCTAAATAGTGTCTTCCTTGTATTTCCATATTGTCTTTCCTCTATGCAAGTCTGTCTCCATGTCTAAATTTTTCTTTTCAGGGCTGGGAGTTTAGCTCAGTGGCACAAGTGCCTGCTTGGTAAGTGCAAGATTGTGAGTTCAGTCCCTGGTACCGAAATAAATAAATAATAATTTTCCCTTTTTATAAAGATACAGTTGGAATTTGGGTGTAGCTCAGTGACAGAACCCCTTCTTGCTCAGCATATGTGTGTTCCTGGGTTTAGTCTCCAGCTCTGCTAAATAAGTAAAACAAAAACTCTAAAATCTCTATGCTGTGGCCAGGAACAAAGGCAACATATATATTTTTTTATTACATCAAACTAGGTGAAAGAAACCAGCAAAAGCCAAATATTGTATGATTCCATTTCTATGAAATGTCTAGGCAGCTAGAAATAAAAAACAGATTAATGGAAACAGATTAATGGTTACTGGGATGAGAGAGGGAATTCTGGATGGGTGGAGTATATGTTTGTAAAGCTGTTTAAAATAAAGTGACAATAAACAGAGCTCCTTTTTTTTTTTTTTGGTGCCGGATATCAAACGCACAACTTCGTGTTTGCCAAGCAGGCACTTATGCCACTGAGCTAAACCCCCGGCCCCAAACAGAGCTTTTATACCCTTCAATCGGGGTTTCTTTGCTGGTTATCATTTTATATAGCATGTGGTCTAATCAAGAAAGTTAACATCTATGTGATATTATTAACTAATTTACAGGCATTATTTGGATTTTTCTAGTTGTCCAACTAATTTCTTTTTCTGATCCAGAATCAATTCTAGCATCCTACTTTGCATTTATTTTGTCAATTTAGCTTTTGCAATCTGTTTTTCTGAGTTTTTATACTTTTGATTGTAATCCAGCATACCAAGTCTGATGTCCTTCTTCTTTTTTCTCTACCCTAACTGCCCTCCTCCTTTAGACAGTCTCACTATGCAGTTCAGACTGGCCTTGAACTCACTTTGTAGCTCAGGCTGGCCTCGAATTTACAGCCATTCTCCTTCCTCTGCCTCCCAAGTGCTGAGATTATGGGAATGTGCCACCACACCCAGCCCATACAGGTCTAATTTTCCCCTTCCTTCTCTGCTTATTTATAATATAATTTTGTTTGACAGTTAAAATTTTTTTTATCCTCAGCTTTTTGTTTTCTATTTTATTTATTTAGTTCAGGTTTTTTGAGGCAAGGTCTTGCTGTGTAGTCCACACTGGCCTTGAATTCACTGTGTAGCTCAGGCTGGCTTCAAACTCAAGGCTATCATCCGGGCGTGGTGGCTCATGCCTATAATCCCAGCACTCAGGAGGCTGAGGCAGGAGGATCATTGCAAGTTTGAGACCAGCCTGGGCTACAAAGTGAACTCAAGGCCAGCCTGAACTGCATAGTGAGACCCTGTCTCAAACACACACACACACACACACACACACACATATGCACACACACAAAGCCTCAAGGCCATCGTCCTGCCTGCCTCATCCTCCTGAGTGCTGACATCACAGGTGTGCATCCAGTGCTCTGTGGATAAATCTGAAGAGTTGTGATTTCTGGGTTGTATTTCATGAACTTCTCCATTCCTTTCTTCCCTTTTGGTGAGGATGATGGGGGGGGTAGGGATGTAACTTCCATCCTGCTCTATGTCAGACACACTGAGTTCATGTTCCCCAAAGTTGAAGAATGAATTCTAAGAAAAAACAGAGATTAAGTGTAGGAAAATCTACTGGGGAATAGGAGTAGCTCCTAAGAGACAGGAAGGGTCCCAAGTGGGTTGCCCTCAACAGTAAAAATTCTCGGTCTCATTATTCACAATGTATTTGTTTGTCTGCTTATTCCTAGTATCATCAGGTCTCCAAATTCATGGGTTCTACATCCATAAATTCAACCAACTACAGAATGAAAATGTTGGAGGAAAAAACGTCTGCTGAAAATATGTAGATTATTTCTTGCCAATATTTCCAAATAATACAGAGCTGTTGACATAGCATTGACATCATATTAGATATTTGGATTTAGAGAGGATTCAGAGTGTACACAGATAGATGCTCATAGGTGACATGCAAATATGCCATCTTATAGAAGGGACTTGAGTATCCATAGATATCACAATCCCTGAGGACCTAAGGGATGGATGATGCTGTTTGTACACAGAAGTTTTATAGTTGCTAACTGTATACCTTTGTGAAAAGCAGATTACTAAGTGTAATATAGTATTGTGTATAATGTTTTGTCTTGAATCTCACAGTATGTAAACATTGAGTCAGGACCCTACCCTATAATCCCATTTAACCTTAATTACCCTTAGAAATCCTAACTCTAGATACAACCACACTAGAAATTAGGGCTTCAACAAATAAATGTTAAGGGGACATAAACATTCATTTCATAATAATGGTGAAGGACTAAATTTGTCTCCTTATAAGATCAGGAACAAGGCCTGTTTGCTCTTAATGCTATACAGCATTCAATAGTAAATTGCATGTTGTGGCCATTTCTATAGAGGAAAAAAAAATTAAAGGGGGCTGGGGACTTAGCTCAGCAGCTTAAATACCTGCCTTGCAAGCAGGCGGTCGTGAGTTCGATTCCTGGTACCGATAAAAATGAAAAAGACAAAAAAATTAAAGACAGATTGAAAAGAAATGAAGTTTTTTTTTTATTTGCTCATGGCATGATCATCTGTGTAGAAAACTGAAACTGCAAAAATACCTAGTAGCAGATTAGCATAGTTACAAATGTAAGATTAATGTACAGCATCAATTTTATTTCTTCTGTGTACTGGCAGCAAATAATTAGAACTTAGGCTAGGGCTATAGCTCAATGCTTGCCTAACATGCATGAGACTCTGGGTTCCATCCCTAACACCACAAAAGAAGGAAAAAAATCATGGCGGTTAATCATGTCAATTTGATTGGCCTGTGGGATGTCTAGGAGATTGGGAAA